GTAGCTGGAGGGAGTAGAAGAGGATTCATACCCTTCCCAAGGGTATTAGCACATAAGTGAATGTAATGGATTCAACTGGAATTTGAACTCGGCTCTCTGATTCCTCAATCCAAGCCACTATCCATTACTCAACCATGCCTCATATATATATATATATATATCTCAAATGAAAAGCAAGGAAGGAAGCCTCATCAATACTGGAAAGAGCATGAAACTTATTTTCCTGAAAAATTATTTAAGAGAAAGATTTTATAAAATTTAACCAGTAAGAAGTCTAAATACTTGGTCGATGAATGCTGAATATTTCCTTATATGGAAATGGCTAATATTACCATTACCATATAAATTTCCCCTGACCCATTTTATTGGCTCTGGTACACATAATACTAAAACAATTAGACATACTACACAGTTTTTGTTAACCATTATATTTTCTTTTCTGTTTTGCCGTAATACATTTTCAGGTAATAAAAGCTTTGTTAGATCTCCTTGTTGCTCGGACTTAAAATATACCATCTGTATCCCATCTACAGAAGTAAAATCCCTATCCCTCAAAAAGTAGTTGTCAAATGATTAGACTAAAACATACCCTCCTTGTATTTACCTGTTCCAAATATCATTTTGTTTATAAATGTTGTGGATTTAATAAAGTTCTTGACTGATGATTTGTCTTTGAAATTTATAATCTTCAACATGGAAGTAAGATGAAATAAAGGAATGCTTAAAGCCATAGTCACAAGTTATGACGGGGCTTGAGCACAATGGCCTTGTTCAAACTGTTGATTATACTGAAGAAGAAATGTTTCCCAAGCCTGTGAATGATGTCAAGTGTATACCCTTTTTATAAGAATGTAGGTGAGCCCTCATGACCATCACAGTATTACCCCATCAGCAGCCTTAGTGTTGTCACTTTTTGTAGCTATCATCAAGAAAGTTGTTTATCACCTTGACAGAAACAACCTCCTGAGCAACAATTGGTATGATTTTTCTCTCATTTGTCTGCTTTCATTTTTATCTGTTGATGTAAAAAAAATATATATATATATATATATATATATATATATATATATATATATATATATATATATATATTTTTAAAATTATCACACATGTATATGTTTTATTATGAAGCAATTTTTTTTTTTTTTTTTAAATAACCTCTATCCTGAAGGGACATGGCATATCATGGCCCTCCATGGCTTACTTTCCTTTCATATGTGTGAATTGTCACTTTTGGAAATGAAGCATTTTCCCATTGTTTTTTGTGGTTTTGAATTTAGTTTCCTGTTACCTAGATTGTTATCAAAATCTGTCCTGATATACCAGGTGTAACGGCATAATTGTCCAAACCATTAAACATCAGAATTGTCCATAAAGCAAAATGTTTAATATCTTAAAAAAAAAAAAAAATACAAACCACCAAACTAATTGAGTTTCTTTTTTTCCAGGTTTTCAGATTAAACACCATTTGTCATAAGAATCACTGAAAAATCCTTTGCGTTATTCAGCTAGAAAAAGAACTGGTTAAAATCCTTTTGTCAGCCCCACTGTCTTCCCAAATGACAAATGGGGAGAGGAAAAAGATCATTTAGTCCTTCATTAATGGTACCAACATTCATACAATCACTTCTATCTTTAAATCCATTCAAGAACCATCAAGAGAATAGTGAATAAGTTTAAAAAAGAGGGAACTGTAGAGAGGAAAACTAGATCAGGAGGTCATAACAGCAAAAAGGATCATTTCACCTTAGAGCTAAAGAGATCAATTAGAAAAGATCCAACTCAATTCATAAAATGTTTGGCACACAAGAGAGGAGTTTCAACTATGACAGTCTAAAAAACAATGAAAAAAAAGACTTGAAAATGAAATTGCATGTGAAACCTATGAGGCACCTTGTTACTCCAGGACAGAAAGAATATTAAAGAGGATGAAGATAAGTTGGAAAATGATGCTGAAATAATATATATTTGAAATTAATTTCAATCCTTCATGAGCTTCTGATCCTTCTTATGATTAATTAATGAAGAACATGTCATTTTCGTTTATGATCGATTTCATCTTGAATCTTCTAAGCTTGGAGGGTAATTACACATTCTTATTGCTCAAAGCAGAGTTCAATAATTCTATAAAAACCTTGGAGAATTCCAGTAAGCTATCTTTAATCATTTCTAAGATACAACAGTTTAGAGCTTAATCTAATGGACAATTTTGCTTTTACATGATTTGAACAATTTTGCTGTTATACCTGGTATATAACCCATAGCTGGTGGTGAGAAGAAATGTTCATAACTTTTCCAAGGGCATTAGTGTAAATAAATATAAAACATTAGACTAGAATTTAAACTTGGCTGGTCAATTCTGTTTTCTGACT